AAATAAAAACAACGAGGACATAGATGAGATCACCGAAAAATTTAGATAAGAAAGGCACACACACACACACACACACACACACACACATGGAGACATATGGACACAGGAGATGAGAGAAAGCAACAGGAGCAGCCGAGGGCGCAGAGGAGACGTAGAATGCGCAAGAGAGAAAGAGAGAGCCTCGTTCCACCACTCAGCGAATGTGAAAAGGACGACAGTTCTGAGTGCATCTTGCCGCGTTCTAGACTAAGTTACAATCCGGGTTTCGCAATGCTCGAGTTCAATGTGAAACGGGCAAAACAGTGCTGAATGCATCTTGCGTGCATCTTGCCGTGTTCTCGACTAAGTTGCAATCCTGGTTTGCTGAGTGCATCTTGAGTGCATCTTGCCGTGTTCTAGACTTAGTCACCATCCGGGTTTCGCATCTCTGCTGAGTCAAACGTGAAACGGACAAAACAGTGCTGAGTGCATCCTGCCGTGCCGTGTTCTAGACTACCTTCTTCCCCCGAATACAACGTACGGTCAATATAGCTGTATTTAGACAGAAAGATACCCCAAATTCAGCTATAATGACCGTACGTTGTATTCGGGGGAAGACTGTAAGTTACCATCATCCGCGTTTTTCGCAAATTTTGAGTTCAATGCGGACAAGGCCTGAGAGACAGTCAACACGAGAACGCACGCGGACAGAACATTCGGACGACTAGCCGAGAGGATTGATTCACGTCTGGCGGCAGCACCGGGGGGCAAGGTCTCACTTGCGCAAATTAGGAGATTTCGGCCGTTGATCTTTGCTATCTACGGTCAGTTATCTTTTAATTCGCGCAAGTGGGACCTACTGTAGTCCCGGGAGGAGGAAAAAATGGAAGCAGGTCCGAGCAGCGATCACTGCATCGCAAGCTACAACCCGAGCAAAGCACCAACCCAACCACTAAATTTCCCAAGCCAATCACTGCATCCCAGCTGTAACCCGAGTTAGAGACCCCAACAAAGCCACAAAATATTTTAAGCCACCCCCATCAGCGACCGGGGGCTAGGTCCCACTAGCACGAATTAAGAGATACTGACCTTAGATAGCAGAGATCAACGGCCGAGATCTCCTAATTTGCGCAAGTGGGACCTCGCCCCGGGAGAAAGGAATCGAAGCGACCGGTCCCGTACTAACAAATAGAGAGAAAGACAACGCGCGCGAAAAATGCAATACAGAAAATATGAAACAGATTCAACTAACGAATACGTTTTTTTTTTCCAAAAAAAATAAAATAAAATGAACTACTGATGAAAGGTTGTCCTGCTTTCAATGAGTAACGGATGCATTTAAAAATAAAAATAAAAAAAAGTCCTTCGGGACATCCGTTGAAATTGCAACGAGCGATACAGAGGAGATTACCATGGCCCCTGCGCAAGGATGGCACGCATATATCGACAAATGGTATTATTTATCAAAAAAAAACAAGTACAGATGTACATTAATAATTTAATATATATGAAAAGAGAACGAAAGGAGATGACACGCGTTCCGAACAAAGAAGAAATCGCGTATGGAGTATCCTGTCATAACGCGAAACTCCTCCCGAAAATTACGTTTAAAATTCAAATAATTAAATACATATTATGGAAACTAAATGAAAAACCTGTGATTACGCAAATTTGAGAAAATATCGCGTTACAACTTTATATACTGCCATCATGCGGGACCTATAATGTGATATTACCATGTTGAACTTTCCAACCGGRRAAAMWCRAWWAAAAAAARWRAAWAWAMACAARACCAAAAAAAAAAAAAAAAAAAAAAAAAAAAAAAAATCATTTGCGTTATGTACGCTACAATTACGCTAAACTGGGAACAAGGTCCCATTTTTCAAGATCCTCCATGTCCGACCACGCGCAGATCAACGACCACATTCAAAGAATCCGAGCAAATGGGCAGAGACTGCTACGACTGGACTTTTGCTTTAGCCTTAATCGTGTGCGCTCTCGGAGGGAAACGACGAAAAAGCGAAAAAAAAAAAAAAAAAAAAAAAAAACGCGTGACCGCTGCGCAAGGATGTAAAAAAACGCATAAATCGAGAAATAATACGAATTTTTTGGGGGGAAACAAAAACACAACTCAACGGCTCGCTGGTGCTGATGTGGCAGGGACTATTGCGACAGCTAGTTCTCCCGCGTATAACGGACCGACCGACCGGCCTCTGCACAAGCAGCACAACTAAGTTTTTTCTGAGTTTTTTCTGAGTTTTTTTTCTGGACGTGATTGCCTTTCAGATACGTCCAGGTCTAGCCCTAAATGCGGTCAGATACATTTGAGATAGTGCTACGAAAGTGCGCGTACGCTCGAGGCTTAGGGACTACAGTCTTCCCCCGAATACAACGTACCGTCATTATAGCTGAATTTAGACTGAAAGATCCACCAAATTCAGCTATAATGACCGTACGTTGTATTCGGGGGAAGACTGTAGGGGATGCTATCACCAACTCAAAGCCCGATTCTTAATTATTCCGCGCCGCCCCCCCATTAACAAAAAGACGGGAGTTGGGTCACTCACCTACAGATGCTAATCGAATGTTATATGCGCGAAGAGTGACGTGCCTTTTAGTCGGCCTTTCTCTCATTCCCTAGAATCCCTGGCATTCCCTGCCGCTTTACTTCACGGAAATCGACGATCAAAATTGTCTCGTTCCAGGTATACACCCATTGATTGATTGCTGATAAACAGATCCGAGTTCCATCTGTCCTGGAATAGGAATCATAGGATAAGTAAAAATAACTCTGGATTTCATTTCGAGGCCGCTCGCCGGTCAGTGGTCCGGGTAATGTCTCAAGGCCGTCGCACTCTAAAGAAACAAAAAAAACATCGACGGTCATACTCCAAAATCCAGTGCGAAAAAAACAAAACAAAAAAAAAAACAGTGCGAATAAGTCGAACCTACCTTCTTCCCCCGAACACAACGAACGGTCATTATATCTGCATCTGGACTGAAAGATGCCTCAAATACAGCCGTAATGGCCGTACGTTGTATTCGGGAGATTAAGGTAGCCGCAGAGGTTTGTAACTATGTAGAGCCCGCTGCGGCAGAGGATCAGTAGAGGTCGGACCCCCTACTTTCTTGCACCGAGTACAACGTACGGTCATTATATCTGTATTTGGGCTGTCTTTCAGACTAAATACAGCTATAATGACCGTCCGTTGTATTCGGGGGAGGAAGCTAGTACGTCGTCGGACGTCGCTCTTCTTATGCGGCACAAGTGGCATATGTACGAAGGATAAGATGCCACAAAGAGAGAGAGAGAGAGAGGGGAGGGGGGGGGGGGGGGGGAAGAGGCCTCGACCTCAAGCAAATCATCCTCAGCGTCTTCTGTCGAAAAAGACGTTTCCTCATCATGACCGCGCCCCGTGGCTCCCATTTTTTCCCGATGAAAACTTCCTCACACCCGTCGAAGAATCGTCAACAACTAGACTCATAAGGCCGAACATTTGGAATATAAATAAGCGTGGCCATAGCGCGCCACAGCCACGGAGAGCACGAGAGCTTGGCGCCAAGTACACCATCAAACTGTTACTACAGGAAAAACCGCTAGGTTAAACAAGTCTCGTTCTTTCGGCATTAGGCTCTGAAATCCCCATCGAACGAACAGTTGCTGGGAAAGGATTTCCTCTCTCTCTCTCTCTCTCTCTCTCTCTCTCTCTCTCTCTCTCTCTCTCGCTCACGGCTGCGGGGCCGGCTGCGCCACGTCTGGTCTCAAGCTTGATGGTAGGCACATCGCCAAAACCTCCCTCACCACCACTTTTCCTTTCCGCAAATCATCGTCCCAAGTCACCATATCCTTCACTAAACCTGCTCGGCCGGATACGCCGCCCCACGTAAGCTCATGCGCAATACAACAGTCGGACTCTCCCGTACTTGTAGATCTTCCACCACTTCACTCACCACTGGCAGGCTGTTTCGGAATCCTTCCTCCTCCGGCCAATCTCTTTAGATCATTGATGTCTACGCTGACAGATGTCCTAACCATTACATTCATCTACTTCTACAATCCAACTTAATCTCCAAACTGTACGCAAACAAGAAACAGGTCTCGGTACATAGGAAACGTTCGTTTGCACACAGATCCTCTCTCTCTCTCTCTCTCTCTCTCTCTCTCTCTCTCTCTCTCTCTCTCTCTCTCTCTCTCTCTCTCTC